GCAGTGGGTTTGTTGAAGCAGGTGTATGATGGCGTCGTCAACTCCAACTCCACGACGATAAGCAAACTGCAAGGGGGCCTGATGTGTGCTTGTTTGCTTACTCAGGTGGGTCAACAGGAGTCTCTCTAGGACCTTCATGATGTGGGATGTCAGGGCAACAGGTCTATAGTCATTGAGGGCTGACGGGTGAGTTTTCTTTGGTACTGGAACCAGACAGGATGTCTTCAACAACACTGGCACCTTCAAGATTAAATGCAGCAAAATAAACTYATTCAAAGGTAACAGATCTTTGTAATACTTGGTTTATGTACAAAATGATTTTAATTGCTGAAGGTTGGGCCCCTGTGCCGTTGTTCTGCATTAACTGTGGCCCCCGGAGCAATTTATTTGAATAGCCCTGCTCTACATGTTGGAAAAACAGCAAACATTAGGGTGGATTATGTAAGGTTTATAAGAACTAATAATGATAATATTAATGAAATTATTATTAGTATATTAGAGTATATATAAGCTCTATTGTAAATAAAATGACAGAAAGCTGTGTGTTATGGATGTACCAACAGAAGAGCAAAAAGAAAACACAAGTAAAGAGATTTTATCTTACTTACATCAATGTGATCTGACCAGAACTGAAGCTAATAATATAACAGTTTAAAATTAAATAAGCTTATAAAGTCGATGCTATCACTGTTAATTGAACTGGTTAGCAGATATTAGCGTCTGTAAGTTATATTGCTATACAGAGTGTAGCGCTCTGCTGAATCATGCTACAATTTAGWACAAATGATTTAATTTTACAAGCTTGTTTTGCTTCTAATTTGTGCAATAGTGTGAAATAATATAACATACATACATTTGATTATTTTAGGTTTCTATTAGAGAAACCTGAGCTGTTGAGAAAATGGTTAGCAAATATCAGTAGAGACAAGTTTCCTCCTATATCTGGTGAGCAGAGAACATTTTCTAATTTTCGAGTGGTAAATATGTGTTATTATTATTTTTCACAATAAGAAATAATTAATATTCTTTTTTACTAATTGAAACCATAATTTTTCATCTAGCTAAAAAGTTAAAGTTACTGACTGACTTCAGGTCTGATTTAAAATAGAATAGACTAGACTAGACTAGACTAGACTAGAATAGACTAGAATAGACTAGAATAGAATAGAATGCCTTTAGTCATTACACATGTGCATAACAAGATTAGAGCCACTCCCACAMCAGTGCAAATACACATTAGATCGTTATTTATAGATTATATTTTTCTTGAACTTATCTGCTGTTTTATATGATTGTTGAATGAAATGAACATAATTATATTCATTTATTGTAAAAAATATATATTACAAAAGATTAGAGACACAGATCAAGTTGGCCTGTTTATCTAACAGTTGTTGAGCTCTGAGCTGTGTCATCATTTTTACTCCTCCATGTTGTCAGAGATACTAACAGTGGACGGGATAGGAGGGGCTCAGTCTGATATTTAACTCTGTCACACATAATGTGTGTGTGTGTGTGTGTGTGTGTGTGTGTGTGTGT